AGCAGGAAGAAATGAATTTACACCATCTTGTCAGGGCCAGAAGTCATCTTTTAAAAATGTGGAGCACAAAAGATCCCACTGGAAACTCAGCAAGTGTGGAAAGACTTGTTAATGGGAGGGCTTCACTGTGGGGTGATCTGGCCAGGATATTTCTTTGAGATCCCTTGTTGTTGGCCAACAATTTAGTTTCTAAAGAAGATAAACCGGAGCGTTCTTGATCGAGGGACCCCCCAGCAGAGCTGAAGGTGGTGGTGCAATGTGAAAACCGAGAGATTAAGAGCAGCTCCATATCCTAAATGGAAAGCCCCTGCGCCTAGTCAGCTCCCAGAAAGCTGGCAGACCAGCTGTGACCTTCAAACAGGAAATTGAAATTGGGAGGAAAAAAAGTCAATAACGAGGGACCCTCTACTTTAATTGTAGTGAGGTTTCAGGAGGAAGAAAAATAAATGTCTATATTTAAACTGCCATTGTTAACTGGAAGGCTTGCCTTGGATCAGAAGCAGTGTTAAGTTTGGTTCCATGAAATGAGTAAAGCATTAAGTCCATGGATAGAAAGGTTAGCAGAAATGTGGCAGGCAGGGAAGGCGAATCCAGCTTCCAAATGCACATCAGTAGGACTTTAACAGGATGCCCATCTATTTCATTTCCTAGGAAACCATCGATCCATTGCCATCCCCCAAGAATCCCTATAGGTCAGACCATCTGATTACCACCCACTCCAGCTCGCTGCCTATTCCAGTAACCATGCCCATACTGCCTCTGGCACTTATGAACCGTTGCTTGGCCTCTGCCACCCCTAAGATCCTATTATTCCCCCTGAAATCAGAGAAGTAATTTCAAGGGCAAAGGCTCCCACCCACATCCTTGGCCACTGCAGTACATGTCAAAGTTGCCAGTATTCCTCACCATCACATTCCTCAATGAAGGGCAAAAGTGTCCTCTAAGCCCTCTCAGCAAACATAGGTGGGGATGTAGACACAAATAATATATCCACTCCAACATTCCTGGCTGACTCTAGAGTCTTGCTCTATGTCACATAAAAGCATTTCTATCATCTTGATTTCTTGCACCACAGGCCACCTTTAGTGCAGAGCTCAGTCAAGAAGCAAGCGGACCATCAGCAATGCTCTGAGCTGCTCAAGCTCACCTTCAAGGTCCTCTTGCTTGGAATACTCCTGAAATGAATTTCTTTATCACACATCCATCTTAGCAGTGGACCACAGAATTCTTACTGGCTGGCTTGGTCTTAGAGAGATTACAGAATCTTCAGCAAAGCCCAAGAGCTAAGATCACAGGCCAGGCAATGGCCAGTCCACAGACAGTGGGGACAGATCCTGAAGCTTGTACAATGGACAGTGAAGAGTGGACTGCAGAAGTTCTAGCACTGCTGTCCCTCAGCCACCTTCACCCAAACATCAACACAGCGAGCTCCCGCTGCCTCTCCTGTACTGCAGTTTGGGATGGGTGCATGTGAGGAGTGGAACTCAGTCCCATGTTTGTGTTCCCAGGGATGCTGTGAAAATAGGTTCTGGTTTTACCTCAGGGAAGAAGCGCTACTGATGTGAGAAATGTCTGGAACATAGGAAGTCTATTTAGGAGATGTGGGAGGCCACCAAGTGTGTCAGTGTCTGCCACACATGGACATACAGCATGGCTCCTCAAGCAAACACTCAGCAGCTGAGACACAGCCCAGACCCGACGTCTGTGCTGGAGGGTGGCTTCTCTACCAGAGCGGGGCCTGCTCCTGCAGTGAGGGTCGTAGACTTTGGGTTTCTTGGCACATCCACAAGGCATTCTCTAACCCTGGCAAATGGGTGTAAGTTTTCTCTAAACCTTCACTTAGTATTTCCCTTAAATGCCCCTGTGGTGTGCTAAGATCCCTAATGAAGGCAGAAGCTACTTTAAAAACATGAGTAGACAATCTGAATGAAGCTTAAAGTAATTACACTGAGTGAAAGAAGTTAGAAAATGCAAATGAATTACAGTGACAGAAAACAGATTGGGCTGGGGGTGTGTGGGGAGAGACGTGGGAGGTATCAAAAAAGGGCATGAGGAGACTTTTGTGGGTGATGATATGCTCCCGATCTTGGTGGTGGTGGTGGTGGTGGTCTTCCGGGTGTATACACGTATGTCAAAACTTATCAAATTGTACACTTTAAAGATGTTTATCTCAACGTATGTTTATATGTTTATCGTATGTCATTTATACCTTAATAAAGCTGTTTAAAAAATACGATTAGACCACTCCCTATCTAAATTTCAGTTTCTGTAAAATGGGAAACATAACACTTATCTCATAATTTTGATGTGAAGATTAAATTAGTAAAAATTAAAGGGCTGAACGAGATGATATTGTCCCTGTGATTCAACTAAAAGCCTTGGAGTCCCCCTTTCTCCTACGCCCACATCCAGTCCTTGGCCATCGCTCTGGACAGTTAGTTAATAGAGTGGGTGGGGGTAGAGATGAAACAGGACTAGCCAGGACTTGATGACTTGATGGTTACTGATGCGTGGTGACAGCTACATGACAGGTCAAAGTATTATTCTCTCTACTTTTGTATATATTTTCATTTTTCATAATAATAATGAAAAATAAACAGTGACTCGGCATTTCATTCAGGGAAAAAACAACATCCTTATAGTGGTCTCCATGGCCCTACATGATCCCCCCACCTTAACTTCTCCCCTCACCTGCTTCTACCCACCTCCTGGTTCCCTGCTGCAGCCACACTGGCTTCCCTGCAGTTCTTGGAACACACCAGGCACTCTCCTGCCTCAAGGCCTTTGCTCAAGCTGTCCCTCTGTGCCTGGAAGCCTCCATGATTTGACCTGTTCAAATGTAAGCCTCTCAGAGAATCCATCCTGACTACTCCATTTAAAAGTGTTATAACTGACCTCTGCCTGTCACTTCCCATGTCCCCTTCCCCACCTCCCTTGTCACCACAGCATTATTATCATCTGACACCTGTATCACTGTTTATTTGTTGCTGTCTTCTCCCCTCCTCACTAACCCCCCCCCACTCCCCCGCCCTCCCATGTCAGCTCCATAAAGACAGGAATTCCTGCCTGGTTTGTTCACTGCTGAATCCTCAGCATTTAGGACAGTGCGCAGTAGGTTCTAAATGAATGAATGAGCCACATATAAATATTCTAGTGGAATGCCTGGTGGGGAGTGAGCCCCATGGGATCCATCACCACCTAAAAATATCTCATTAAGTCATTTGATAAATATATGTTAATCGTTCAGTCAGTACCTTGTGTCCTGATCTTTGGAAAATGAGACTACGACGAATGGACATTTTTGTTAATTCCTGGGAAGCAGCAACGTAGGGAGGGATTCCCACAGTCTTCAGAGGTGGGCAGATCTGCTTTGAGTCCTGGCTCAGCCACTTGCCAGCTGTGTAACTTGGCCAAGTTGCTGAGCCTCAGCACCTGGTCTCCTCACCAATGGTACTTGCCAGAAACCCCCTGCAGTCCAGGGCTGGGCTGGAAGCCCACCACCTGCCCTTCCTGAATGAGTCCTTTCCCTTTCCGCAAGATGGACAGGACCACCTCTGGGACTTGCTGGTGGGGTGAGCCAGTGATGGTCAGATGCACTACTCAGGAAGCAGTGACATCATTGAGATCACAAAAGGGGAGGTGATTCAGTCCTGGCCCAGCCTGAGGACTTCTCTCCTATCGCAACCCACCCCTGCACGCCTGAGGTTATAAACAAATGACTCAGAGGAATGGTGGGGGAGTGCCCCATAACAGTTCATACCAGTGTCCCGGGGCTAAATTTAACACACAGCTGTAGCCTCCGGCATTTTGGGGACAAGTTAATCTTGGTGGCTGAGGCTGATGTGAATGGAGGGGTGAGGGGGAGTGGTCAGGAGTCCAGAGCAGGGTGGGCATCAAGACTGGCTGTTCTGGGCCTCGGTCCTGACTCCTTAGACTGTAGACAGGGCGCAGGGGCCCCAAAGCAAGGCAGACTCAGGCCAAGCCCAGTATGAACCAAGAACAATGAGCATAGACAGCTAAAGTCCTGGAATACTAAACTCTTGGAGTGTTACTTTTTGAACACTAGAATTCAGAATGTCACTTCCCTAGAATATCAAAACCCCAGGGGTTTAAACACCTAGAATCCTAGAATCCTAGGAAATTAGTTTGCTATCACGTCTGACATCTTCGAACGTTAAAACCCTCTAATAGTGTATTCCCAGGAACACAGTACCTCAGTGCTTCTGAACCTCAGCAGAGCTGAACGCAGGCCTTTAAGGTCTAACTCCTCCACCTCCTCATTGTGTAACAGGGGAAACTGAGGCTTAACAGAGAGACATTAACCTGCCCCAGGCCCCACAGGAAAGTGGTGACCTTGTTTACTGAAGGCACCTTCTTGCGGAGGGCCTCACAGCTGGCACAGAAAGAGAAAAAGGTCTACTCATTTCAAAGGTGGGGCAATAGGGCCCCCAAAGAGTGAATGCCATGCCCAAGTTCACTGAGCAGGAAACCCAAGCACAAGGTATCCAGGGTGGCTGGAGTGAGATGTACTCCAGGGAGGAAGGCGGAGGCACAGGGTGAGACGCCTGGAAGGCTTGAAGGAAGGGAGATCCTGAAGAGGGGCTCCAATGCCTCCCCCTCCCTGGATGGAGAGAGGCAGAGCTCGGGCCACCCTCTCCCCTCAGGGGCACCTCCTGACCAAAGAATCCAGACTCTAGGCCTTGCTGTGCTCCATTTAGAAATAAGACAGGGAAGCCCTCATCTTTCAGGGAGGCCGAGACACTCCACCCCCATCCCATGAGCCCCCGGGCCTGAGTCTAGGCTGCTCCAGGAGAGGGCCTCTGTCCAGCTGTCCCCTGTGCGTCATGTGCAGGAGGTCAGGCGGCTCGGCTTACAGGGCCGGGGCCACCTCTATATATAGCCCCACAAAGACAGCTGCGCAGTCTGAGCACGCCTCAGCAGGAAAGCGGGGGTACAGAGAGGAGCCCCCGGCACAGTCGCTGCGCCCGGGGCCAGCCACCATGGCGCTGAGCTTGGAGCAGGCGGAGGAGCAGCGGTTGTACCAACAGACGCTCCTGCAAGATGGGCTCAAAGACATGCTGGACCACGGCAAGTTCCTTGACTGTGTGGTGCGGGCTGGCGACCGTGAGTTCCCGTGCCACCGCCTGGTGCTGGCCGCCTGCAGCCCCTACTTCCGGGCGCGCTTCCTGGCCGAGCCGGAGCGCGCGGACGAGCTGCGCCTGGAGGAGGTGTCCCCGGACGTGGTGGCCCAGGTGCTGCACTACCTGTACACGTCGGAGATAGCGCTGGACGAGGCGAGCGTGCAGGATTTGTTTGCCGCGGCCCACCGCTTCCAGATCCCGTCCATCTTCACCATCTGCGTGTCCTTCCTGCAGAAGCGCCTGTGCCTCGCCAACTGCCTGGCCGTCTTCCGTCTCGGCCTTCTGCTCGACTGCGCGCGCCTCGCCGTGGCCGCCCGCGACTTCATCTGTGCGCGCTTCTCGCTGGTGGCGCGCGACGCCGACTTCCTTGGACTCTCGGCCGACGAACTCATCGCCATCATCTCCAGCGACGGCCTAAACGTGGAGAAGGAGGAGGCGGTGTTCGAGGCGGTGATGCGGTGGGCGAGCAGCGGTGACGCCAAGGCACAGGCAGAGCACCAGCGCGCGCTGCCCACCGTGTTCGAGAGCGTGCGCTGCCGCCTGCTGCCACGCGCCTTCCTGGAGAGCCGCGTGGAGCGCCACCCTCTCGTGCGTGCCCAGCCCGAGTTGCTGCGCAAGGTGCAGATGGTGAAGGACGCACACGAGGGCCGCATCACCAAGCTGCGCAAGAAGAAGAAGGACAAAGGGAAGGACGCAGCCAGGGCCAAGGAGGCGGACAAGGGCACAGCTGAAGCCAAGGCAGAGGAGGATGAGGAGGCCGAATGCGTGCTACCTGGGATCCTCAATGACACCTTGCGCTTTGGCATGTTCCTGCAGGACCTCATCTTCATGATCAGTGAGGAGGGTGCTGTGGCCTACGACCCAGCTGCCAACGAGTGCTACTGTGCCTCCCTCTCCACCCAGATACCCAAGAACCATGTCAGCCTGGCTACCAAGGAGAACCAAGTCTTCGTGGCTGGGGGCCTCTTCTATAACGAGGACAACAAAGAGGATCCCATGAGTGCTTACTTCCTGCAGGTGCCTGACCAGTCCTGGGAGGGGCCAGCTGGTGCTGGGTTCACTGGGGTTGGGGGGGGGAGGGGCAGCAGCCTTGGGGCCCAGGAGGGGCCTGTGTCTACTTGGGGAATGTCACTGGGTCTAGGGTGAGATGTAGACTAGGGAGGCTGACTCGCAGCCACTTTCCTGAAGGCTGAAGACAGTTGTAGGCAGCTCTTTGGCATCCCAGTTTCAGGGGATCGTAGCCCCAGGTTGGTGGATGTTGGAGGCTCCCGCCCTGCACTGGGGCTGGGGTTGGGCACAGTGAGAAGGAGGAGCAAGATCAGTGTAGGGATCCTGGGCAGGGCTTTGCCTGAGGGCCAGGACTGGAGTCTGGAACACAGTGTCCCAGACAAAGGGACCATCCTGCCTAGTCCTCCCATTATATAGATGAGGACACTGAGGCCCAGGAAGGACCAGTAGAGTGGAGTGTGCAGTCCAAGTTGGGAGTGGGACTGTGGGATCCCAGAGGGCTGACAGTTTCCTGGAGACTAGCCACGTACGTTTGAGCCTTGCCAGTTGGGTGGAATTTGGGGATGTGAAAGGGAGGTTGGCAGTGGTCCTGGCTGTGGAACCATGAGCAGGGGACAGAAACAGGAATGAGGTGAGTGGTGTGCTCAGTGAGGCCTGACCAGTGAGAGGTGTGAGGGGCAGCTTGGTGCCAGGGTTAATTAAGCTCACAGGCCTCACGGTTGGACTGGAGGGAGGGGGAACAGCTCCACCAAGTTACCAGCCCAGCAGTGTGGCACCTCCTTTATGCTCTCTGAGCTTCTGTTCCCAAGTGGGGATATTATTCTTCCTGCTTGGTAAGTAAGGTTGTTTGAAGGATAAATGTTGCTTATAAAGTGCTCATCAGCACAGTGCTCAGCCCTTTGAAAACTCCCAAAAGGTGAGCCACTAGTACTTTTATTATAAGACTATGAAGTGGACAGGGCGGCAGAGTGTGGATTTTAAGGGGTGAGTGGCAGGTCTGTAATTGGAAGTTTCCTGGGAGTGGGGTGCGATGGAGAGCAGGGGGCAGGCTGGCCTCAGCTCAGGCGGAAGGGCCAAGGCCACGCACAGCTACACCTCCCTCTCAGAGCCCCCTCCTCAGTTCTGCGCCATGGTGCCCATCACCGCGCTGTAATGATGGTCTCTGGGCACCCAGCTGGGAGGTGGGATGGCAGGAGGGGCGCTGTCTCCGGAGACCGCCTCCAGCCTGCGCTGGCCCTATCCAGGGGCCCCCACTCCTCTGTGACTGGGGTGGGGGTGGGTGGCCGGCCCGGGCTGGGCAGGGGGCGTGGGGGGGGTAGCTGACTGGCCGCCCGGCCCACAGTTTGACCACCTGGACTCGGAGTGGCTGGGGGTGCCGCCGCTGCCCTCGCCGCGCTGCCTCTTTGGC